TCTTCCAGCGTCTGGCCAAGGCTGTGAGAGGCCTCCTTTTGCCGTGAACGTCAACGAGACGGACCCTCCAGGTGAGTACGTTACTTGTTGTAAATCGTTGGCCAGCTGTTCAGGTGATCTTAGCCCAACATTTTGATTTCTTTGGTAAAAAATTGCAGTTTCCTCTTCTGTGGTACTGGTTGCACACGCTTGGAAAATATTTAGATCTAGTCGAATTCAGGAGCAAAGGCTGACTTGTTTGACAAGGTAATCAAAGTGAGACAAAGAACTAGATTGAGATGAGGCCACACACGAAAAGCTTTCCCACCATAGGAACACACTTTTAAACAAACTTTTTATTCGAGGCGGCGTCACTGATTTGCGAATGAAAAATAATTAATTCTGATTGCATAATAGTGTGCTCGTGACTGCTATGAGAGTGGTCAGACAGGGGTAAACAGGGTATTTATGTGCTCACTGGCGATTTCATAAACGTATATATTTGAATCTATGTAAAGCTTGCGTCTAAGGGTAAAATTGACTCCAACACTGTTCTCAAATAAAGGAAGGGAAGCAGTGATTATTTTATTATGTAGACGCTTCGCCCCTGCGAAATCTAAATTCTTTATGTTGAAAAAAAAAAAACCCAGCAAAAAAACCAACACAATGTAGATGAAAGTTGTCCCCGCATCCGATCCGGACATTGGGGATTGCCTTGTCAGTGAGACAACTTCCTGGGCCTTCGGTATATAGTGGTAGGGTGGCCAGTTCCTTTCCACGCCGCCTTTACTTCCCCAACTCGAAGTCAGGTACCCATTACCTCTGGGTCGGCAGGAGGGGGCGAAAATGGTTCGTGTCCGAACCGAGGCTCGAACCCGGACTTTCCGCTTCAGAGACGGGCGCACTAACCGCTCCGCCATCGCACCCTCACAATGTATGTACAATTATTTAAAGAAATAAACGGCTTAGTTTTTTTCTTTCTCTCTCTCTCTCTCGTGAAAAACTTTGAGTTCTGGGCTTAGATCAAGAACATATGAACGTCTTGTCGACGCAAAGTTTTGCGACCTCATTGATACAATTTAGACTAGTGCTTACCAACCTGGGTAATATCTCCCTCTAGGGGACGATTTGGTAACGCACACACGC